TTAGAATAACCGGATGCAACAGTCACACACTTCGTGCTCTTCGAGTTCCCAGAACGCCATTCCCGGGCCACCGAGGTCACACTTCATTCGAGTTCCAGAAATTCCCAGGCCACATTTAGAATAACCGGATGCAACAGTCACACACTTCGTGCTCTTCGAGATCCCAGAACGCCATTCCCGGGCCACATTTAGAATAACCGGAACAGTCACACACTTCGTGCTCTTCGAGTTCCCAGAACGCCATTCCCGGGCCACATTCGGTTGTTCGCTTCAGATGCCGACTGTACCTGTGCGCAAGAAGATACAAGCATCCCCGTCTGCTGTGCAAACGATGATAGACATGAGCGCTTCCAAAACAACATCACAAGATAAGCACACACTAATGCATACAGGCCGTCCTCGCTTTCATCGACATACATCGTTTGAGATTCCATGCGTTCATAGCAGAGTGTCGTTTGGATACACATCCATTCAAGTTCCCAGCGTTGATAGCAGTGTCTCGTTTGGACGGACATCCATTCAAGGTCGGTGCGTTGATAGCAGTGTCTCGTTTGGAGAAACATACTTTCAAACTCCATGCGTTGATAGCAATGTCTCCTTTGAACAAGCATCCATTCATTTTCCACGCGTTGATAGCAGTGTCTCGTTTGGACATATATCTATTCCAGTTCCGTGCGTTGATAGCAGTGTCTCGTTTATACATGTAGTCATTCAAGCGACATGCGTCCATGGCAGTACCTTGTTTGACAACACATCGAATCAATCTCAGCGCGACGATGACAACAGCTTTTGCATCACTATTACTGTTACTGTTGGTTCACAGTGCCTCTCACTGCTGCTGCATGTTTCAGTTATACTTAGACACATCGCTGTTAGGTTGCTTTGCCGGGATAATTTTTACCTAACAGCGAAGACTGATAGGTTTCTAGTTGACTCAAAAGAGCTCACAGATCACTCCACAGGGGGGTCCGGGCAGGCGTTGGGAGTTGCCGGGCGGCAGGGTGCCGGGCTCGTTTTTCACCAACAGTCACACACTTCGTGCTCTTCGAGTTCCCAGAACTCCATTCCCAGGCCACATTCTGAATAACCGGATGCAACAGTCACACACTTCGTGCTCTTCGAGATCCCAGAACGCCATTCCCGGGCCACATTTAGAATAACCGGATGCAACAGTCACCACTTCGTGCCACTTCGTGTCTTCGAGTTCCCAGAACGCCATTCCCGGGCCCGGATGCAACAGTCACACACTTCGTGCTCTTCGAGTTCCCAGAACGCCATTCCCGGGCCACATTTAGAATAACCGGATGCAACAGTCACACACTTCGTGTTCTTCGAGTTCCCAGAACGCCATTCCCGGGCCACATTCGGTTGTTCGCTTCAGATGCCGACTGTACCTGTGCGCAAGAAGATACAAGCATCCCCGTCTGCTGTGCAAACGATGATAGACATGAGCGCTTCCAAAACAACATCACAAGATAAGCACACACTAATGCATACAGGCCGTCCTCGCTTTCATCGACATACATCGTTTGAGATTCCATGCGTTCATAGCAGAGTGTCGTTTGGATACACATCCATTCAAGTTCCCAGCGTTGATAGCAGTGTCTCGTTTGGACGGACATCCATTCAAGGTCGGTGCGTTGATAGCAGTGTCTCGTTTGGAGAAACATACTTTCAAGCTCCATGCGTTGATAGCAATGTCTCCTTTGAACAAGCACCCATTCATTTTCCACGCGTTGATAGCAGTGTCTCGTTTGGACATATATCTATTCCAGTTCCGTGCGTTGATAGCAGTGTCTCGTTTATACATGTAGTCATTCAAGCGACATGCGTCCATGGCAGTACCTTGTTTGACAACACATGGAATCAATCTCAGCGCGACGATGACAACAGCTTTTGCATCACTATTACTGTTACTGTTGGTCTCACAGTGCCTCTCACTGCTGCTGCATGTTTCAGTTATACTTAGACACATCGCTGTTAGGTTGTTTTGCCGGGATAATTTCAAAAAAAAAAATCCCCACCAGCTTTCGCCGCTGTGCTCTTAGGCTTGCTTGCGCGTTGCTAATTTGACAGGCCCGTGGCCCGGACCTCTCAGCTCGGCGACTGCGAATCCGCGTCCGCCCGCGACCCCCCCAAAAAAAAACCCACCAGCCCATCCATACATCCATAAACGATGTCCAGGGGAATTGTCGGGAGGAGGGACCTCCTTCCTTCCTCTTTCCCCCTTCCCGCCTCCTTCATCCTCTCCCACGCTCAGACTCACTCACACTCAGAGCGACACTGAGAATCACTCCTGCACAGACTCACTCGTACACAGACTCGTTCATCCTCAGCCTCCTGCGTATTCAGATTCGCTCACGCTCAGATTCACTCGCACAGACCTCCCGCTCTCATGTACACTCATACCCTCTTAGCCCTTTTCATATTCATTCGTACTCGTACTCATCGACGCCCACTTCTCCTTCCGATAGCCCTATGCTGCCGAACTACACAGAGGGCGTGGCACCTGGGCACCCCCGGGGAGCAGCTGGCAGGGCGTGTGACACTTGCCCGCTCGGGCCCAGATCGGTGGGGATGCCTCCGGCGGGTGGCCCATCCGGTGGCCCCGCCTTCCCCCCCGCTGGAGCGTCCCATGCCTTCCGCGACACGGCGGGCGCGGCAGTGGCGCTCCGCAGGGAGGGGCCGCCGGAGCGTCCCCCATGCTCTCCGCGACACAGCAGTTGCGCGGCAGTGGCGCTCCGCAGGGAGGGGCCCCGCCGAGGGGGGGAGTGCCACGCGCCCGTGCGCCCGGATCGCGGGGGTGTTTCGGGCGGTTATCAGGAGGGGAAAAAAAACACACACACAGACACAATTAATCGTCGATTCCCCCGAAAATATAGGGAAATATGGGAAGTGGGGGGAAAACAAAAACCCAGAAAATATGTGAAACTATGGGGAATCCTGTTGTTTGTGTGTATTTATTTGTGTGTCCCAGAGCGCCTTCAGGTTAGCCTGGCTGGTGGCCTAGACTCCTCTTCGCTGAGGGCCCTGTGAACATCGCTATGCGTTAGGCGTGGCACTGGGGCCACCCCAAGGAGGAACGGCCCGGGAGGGGACACGTGCCTGTTGGCACCCAGCGTGTGGGGATGTCTCAGGCGGTTTGCCAGGCTGGTGGTCCAGACCCCGCTCTTGCGACAGCGAACTGATCATTTCGATCGAGGAGCACTCGGGCACCCCACGGAGGAGCAACCAGGTAGGGGGGGACGCATGCCCTTTCGCGTCCAGCTCGAACGCACGCGTGACACTTGGGCACCCCCAAGCAAGAGCTGCGAGGCAGGGGGACACCCTCGCCAGTTTGCTTGCAGACTGGGGATGCCTCAGGCGTTTCGCTGAATTAGCGGCCCCGATTTGTTTAGAGAGTTCCATGTTCACCACGATGTAGCACGCAAGGGGTAGCCGCCAGAGAGGGGGACACTTGCCCGCTCGCGCCCCAAAGGTCTGGATGCCTCAGGCGGTGCCCCTGCTTGGTGGCCCAGGCTCCTTCCCTTTCGAGAACCCCATGCGCATCGTGATTTAGCAGGTGTGGCACTTGCGCACCCCAGGGCGGAGCCGCCAGGAAGGAGGGACAGTTGCCCCTTCGCGCCCAGACTATAGGGATGTGTTGGGCGGTGTGCCTGGTCGGTGGCCCAGGCTCCTCTTCGCTGAGGGCCCCATGGCCATCGCTAATGGGGGCGTGTCTTCGCCCGCAGCGTCATTTACTCCCGTCCTGCCCTGCAGCGACTGCCGCAGAGCACAGCGCTCCGGATTTTTGGCAGTGGGCAGTGCTTGGCGTTCGTCCTCCTCGACTGCGCGCCACCCCGGGGGCGGTGGGGCCGCCGCCGCCGCCGGGTGCGGAGGCGGCTCGCTGCCATTCGCGCGCGCGCGTCTTCCCTGGGCGCCTGCACTGGGCGCGCGCCGTGGCCGCCGCCGCCGCCGCGGCCGTCATCGTCGTCGCCGCCGCCGGCGACGTCAACGTCGGCGGCGGCGGCGGCGGCGGCGGCGTCGCCGTCGGCGGCGGCGGCGGCCTCGGCGCCGTCAGATTGGTGGGATGTCTCGAGCGGTTCGCCTGTTTCGGCGCCTCGGCCTTGCTTTTGAGAGTTCCAGGATCACCGCGATGTGTCAGGCGTAGCCTTTCGGCATCCCCAGGAGGAGGCCGCCAGAGGCTGTATCACGGGCCCCTTCGCGCCCAGATTGCGGGGGGATGCCTCAGGCGGTCCGCCTCTTCCTGGGCCCTGGACTGTTCTCCTGTGAGGGCCCCATGGCCGCCGCGCGATGCCGCAGACATGGCCCGAGGCGCGTTGCCAACTTGCCGATGCCTGGGGCCTCCATGGCGGGAGCGCTGGTTTCCAGCGGCGACATCGGGGCCCCACCCTCGCCGATCGGCGACTCGGGCAAGTCGGTGGGCGGCGGGGTTGGGCTCGGAGCTCGTCGACCACGTGGAGCCATCGCCTCCCATCGGGTCCGGAGAATCGGTGACTGGTGGGGCACACATTTGAGATGTGGTGCTCGCGCGGTCAGTGCTCTGCTCTCCTGGGGCTCTGCAGCGTCGTCCGCACCTTGCTTCTGCACGTCCGAGCTGCTCCGTGGCTGCCTGCACGCCCCCCGGTGCTCAGCTGCGCTCTGGCTCTTAGGGACACTGCGCAGGCCTGGCGTAAGCTCGAGAGGTCCCTTCCAATGTGTCTTCCGCTGATGAGATGACCTTCGTGAGCCGGCGCCGCAGATCCTGGGCCCGCCAGAGCCATTGCCCGAGCGAGAGGGGAGCACGGGAGCCTCTGTGCCGCCTTATTGGCTAAGCGTAGGAGGAGGAGGAGGAAGAGGAGGAGAAGGAGGAGGAGGAGGAGGAGGAGGAGGAGGAGCGAAGGGCGAGGGAGGGGGGCAGGGGAGGGAGCTACAACGTGTGCGGACGTCGCCACCCAGGCTTGGCTTGGGCACCGCCCCCCCCCGCCTCTCGCGCGCCCCCCCCCCTCGCCGCGTCGCAGGCTTCGTGGACGGCATGGCGGACGTGCCCCGGCTGCGGGAGCCCGGCGCCGACCGCTGCCTGGGGCCGGAGGGTCGCGGGCAGCGCGCGGGCCCCGCGGAGGCCCTCCCTGGCGTCGCGCGCGCCGCCGCGCCGCCGCTGGCCGGCGTCGTCGTGATCGCCGCCGTCTGCTCCTCCTCGTCCTTTGCCTGGTGTCTTCCCTGCCCTTGCCCTTTTCCTCCTCGTCCTTCCTGGGCGATGCTGCCCGTGAGCTTCCTTCTCGGAAAGCCGCTGCCTGTCCGAGCGGCTCCTGTGGAGCGAGGTGAGCAGCACTGGCCGTGGAAGCTGGGTGAAGATCTGCCTGCTGATCTACAGACGGCCTGTCAAGCATGGTTCCAGAATGTCGATGAGCACCTGCCGGATATCCACGGGATCCACACTTGGTGCTGCGCAGCGTACTCTGGAAGAGCTGAAGTGCTGAGAGCCCACTGAGTGGACTTTGGCCAGGCCTGGAGGAGTGACCTGCGACAGCTTTCTTCTGTTGAAGGCAGTAAGTGGGCTTCTTTTCTTCGGCCTGCAGACTGCATGCTGTATGGTCAGAGGCTCGAGCCAAAGGATTTTGTAAGCTTGCAGCACAGTGCAGGCAAGGGAAGACAGTTGCACGCATTGCTTTGCCGACATGGCCTAGCGATGGCAACCTGGGGCCCTTGAAGGATGCCTCCCGTGCGGAGCTCATTCCTATTCTGCTAGAAAGGGTGGGAAGAGTCTCTCTCTCTCTCTCTTCGTTTGGGGGGCTGCCCCTCCTCCCTCCAGAGGGGGTAAGGAACGTGCTGATGGTGCTGAGGCCTGGCAGGCCTGGGCCGAGCCTGCGGCCAGGGAGCAGGAGGGAGGGGCGGCGCACGTGGAGGAGGAGGAGGAGGAGGAGGAGGACGAGGAGGAGGAGGAGGAGGAGGAGGAGGAGGAGGAGGAGGAGGAGGACGAGGAGGAGGACGAGGAGGACGAGGAAGAGGAGGAGGATGACGAGGAGGAGGAGGAGGAAGCCGAGGGCGCTGCCGCTCGCCCGGCGCCGGCCGTGGAAGAGCACGGCGGGCCGTGGACGTGCTCCTGGAGCAGCGGGGGCCGCTTTGGAATGCGCAAAGGAGAGATCCGAGCATTCTCTTTGGGTGGAGGGCAAAGGGTGAAATCTTGAATGACGTTTCGATGGATTTTCGAGGCTCGAATATGCCGAAGGAGAACCCCAAGACGGCTTGATTTTCCAGGTGCAAGAAGCTCATATGGATTTCACCCTGAGCCCTCCACCCTAACAAAATACTCAGAGAGATGGTGACCAGGAGGGGAAAAAACACACAGACACAATTCATCGTCGACGATTCCCTAGAAGATAGTGGAGAATATGGGAAGTGTGGGGGGGGGGGGGGCAAGAGCCCAGGAGATGTGTGAACAGATGGGGACTTCTGTTATTTGTGTGTGTTTATGTGTGTGTGTGTGTGAGTGTGTGTGTGTGTGTTTGCGGGCCCCTTCGGGTGAGGCTCATCCGAGGGACTGGGGCCCTGGGGTCGCCACCGCTAGGCTTGTGGAGGGCGATCAACGGAGAGGACGCATGTTGCCAGATAGTTTCCAGATGTCCAAAACATGTGTCAAAACTGTCTTAAGAATGTAGGGACATGTTTCAAACATTTTCAGGACATTTTCCTTACATTGTAAGCACATTCTTAATGCGATGATAGGACTGTTAGGGTGTCCATTGTCGTGGCATCCACAACGCTAGGCCCTTGGTGGCCTCTGGCCCGCCCCAAGGGTTGCTGGCCTCTGGAGTCCTGGACCCCTGAGTCAAGCTTCCCAGTGTTGCCGTCGTCCTGCCCTGGCTCTTGTGAGCCAGGGTGGGATCAGTGGCGTCCGCGCCGAGTTTTGTGCTTCCTCGACAGCTACAAGTCAGCTCTGCTGGGCATTCTCATGAAGTGGGAAGAGGGATCCTGATGGTCTCGACCTCTGGACGCTGTTGAATTTCTTCTTGGGGAAGCCAACCCTGGCCTCAGGAGTCAGGCCGACTGTGTGGCCTCCATCTGAGGGGGGCACCTGGTCACGCTTAATGCAGCCGGTGGCTAGGAAATTAGGTGTTTCCGCTAAACAAGTCTGCCTTCTGGGGAGGAGCTGGTTTCACTTGTGATCGAGCTTGGCACGTGCATAACATCGTTCAGAGGCTTGCCAGGCTTAACGGGTTCGCTGCCGTCAGCGGGCGCCTAGACTTGCCCAAGTACTACGAACACATCTCACACGAGGATCTTTTGAGGGAGTCCTTAGTCGCTGGGTTCCTATTATGCTCATAAGGTTTTTTTCGCTGGGTACAATTTACTTCGTAGAGCTCGATGGAATATGACCACCTCTGATTCTGTCAGGGTCAACGGCACGGTGGCAGCGGGCTGCAGCTGCGCCCTAGCTTTGGCCAAGCTTCCTGTGCATACTGTCATCGTGGCTTTGCAGCCTAAGCATCTTGCTTTTAGATTCCAGAACCCAGTAGATGATTTTCTCCTTCAAGCCATCGGAGGCAGAGCCCAGGTGCTAGAGCAGCTCCCGCAGGCCATGTCTGACTTAGCAACGTCTTCGAAGCACGGGCAGCTAATTGTGAACTGGGATAAGACTGGCTGCATGACCAGTTCGGTGGATTTGGATGAGGATCCCAGTCAGCATTGGGACCTAAGTAGGGAGCAGAGGCTCAGCAGCAGCAAATGCCTGGGCATAGACGCCAACAGTGCCTCCAGGGGTGTTCAGAAGCAGGATAAGCGCATGAAAAAAAAACAGCAGCAGTTCCAAGTGGCGTTTTAACTTTAACCCTGGGGAAAGCAGATGCGAGCGTCAGCACTGTAATGAGGGGGTCTCCGACGGCACAGGCGGCACGGGGAGCGGCGGTCACAGGCATCGCTGACATGCAGCTCGCTGCTCTCAGGCTAGCCGCTTTTGAGGGGACAGGGGAGAGCTCCCCCAGGCACCTCGGTGGCCCTTCGTCTTCGTTTCGCCCCAAGGGGAGCCACCAGAGATCCTTGGGTTACTGTCTATGATGTGATCAAGCACTGTGCTTCGAGTGTACAGTCAGTCATCCTTGGTCTTGGACTCTTGCAGGCCTGCCTGCAGGAAGCGCAGCGTCTCTTGCAGAAGGAACGGCCATGGGCGCAGGTTGTAGATCATTCGCAAGCGGCGGTTTCGTCGTTGGCCAAGGTAGGATGCACCTTGCCCCCCCGCAGGTGATTTCAGGCACCCCGTGCTCGTGAACTTCAGAATCGGCGATTTCTCTACAGTTTTTCCCAACCATGGTGTTGGGTCCTCGTTTTGAAGAGACGGTCCCCGCGTTCCTTCTCCTCCTTCTCCTCCTCCTGCTCCTCGCCCTCCTCCCTCCAGGGTTCGCATGCCTCCCCACCACCCATTTCGGCACACCCCTCACACGTTTCGTGGCCCCATAGGGAGCTCCACCGAAGGCCCCAGTGGCAGGGTCCGCATGCCTCCCCACCACCCATTTCGGCACACCCCTCACACGTTTCGTGGCCCCATAGGGAGCTCCACCGAAGGCCCCAGTGGCAGGGTTCGCATGCCTCCCCACCACCCATTTCGGCACACCCTTCACACGTTTCGTGGCCCCATAGGGAGCTCCACCGAAGGCCCCAGTGGCTGGTTCGCATGCCTCCCCAACCACCCATTTCGGCACACCCCTCAACACGTTTTTCGTGGCCCCATAGGGAGCTCCACCGAAGCCCGCCCCAGTGGCTGCGTTCGCATGCCTCCCCACCACCCATTTCGGCACACCCCTCACACGTTTCGTGGCCCCATAGGGAGCTCCACCGAAGGCCCCAGTGGCTGCGTTCGCATGCTTCCCCACCACCCATTTCGGCACACCCCTCACACGTTTCGTGGCCCCATAGGGAGCTCCACCGAAGGCCCCAGTGGCATGGTTCGCATGCCTCCCCACCACCCATTCGGCAAACCCCTCACACATTTCGTGCCCCATAGGGAGCTCCACCGAAGGCCCAGTGGCTGGTTCGCATGCCTCCCCACCACCCATTTCGGCACACCTCACACGTCGTGCCCCATAGGGAGCTCCACCGAAGGCCCCAGTGGCTGCGTTCGCATGCCTCCCCACCACCCATTTCGGCACACCCCTCACACGTTTCGTGGCCCCATAGGGAGCTCCACCGAAGGCCCCAGTGGCTGCGTTCGCATGCCTCCCCACCACCCATTTCGGCACACCCCTCACACGTTTCGTGGCCCCATAGGGAGCTCCACCGAAGGCCCCAGTGGCTGCGTTCGCATGCCTCCCCACCACCCATTTCGGCACACCCCTCACACGTTTCGTGGCCCCATAGGGAGCTCCACCGAAGGCCCCAGTGGCAGGGTCCGCATGCCTCCCCACCACCCATTTCGGCACACCCCTCACACGTTTCGTGGCCCCATAGGGAGCTCCACCGAAGGCCCCAGTGGCTGCGTTCGCATGCCTCCCCACCACCCATTTCGGCACACCCCTCACACGTTTCGTGGCCCCATAGGGAGCTCCACCGAAGGCCCCAGTGGCTGCGTCGCATGCCTCCCCACCACCCATTTCGGCACACCCCTCACACGTTTCGTGGCCCCATAGGGAGCTCCACCGAAGGCCCCAGTGGCTGCGTTCGCATGCCTCCCCACCACCCATTTCGGCACACCCCTCACACGTTTCGTGGCCCCATAGGGAGCTCCACCGAAGGCCCCAGTGGCTGTGTTCGCATGCCTCCCCACCACCCATTTCGGCACACCCCTCACACGTTTCGTGGCCCCATAGGGAGCTCCACCGAAGGCCCCAGTGGCTGCGTTCGCATGCCTCCCCACCACCCATTTCGGCACACCCCTCACACGTTTCGTGGCCCATAGGGAGCTCCACCGAAGGCCCCAGTGGCTGCGTTCGCATGCCTCCCCACCACCCATTTCGGCACACCCCTCACACGTTTCGTGGCCCCACAGGGAGCTCCATCGAAGGCCCCAGTGGCTGCGTTCGCATGCCGGCCCCACACCAGCTTCGGTGCACCCCATCACACGTTTCGTGGTCCCATAAGGAGCTCCACCGAAGGCCCCAGTGGCAACGTTCGCATGCCGCCCCCACACCC